TGTTCTAAGAGCCCCTTCGCAGCAACGCCCTTTGGCATTTGCGTAGACAGGCCTGTGGTCCCCCCCGAAGGAAGAGGGCTTGATTGTGAGGATAATAGCTTCATAAATCAGTACTCCGCCCTGCAATTAGGAGACTGAGGTTATTCAAGCTTGTCTCTAGCCCTGACCTCAGTGAGTCAGACCAACTCTGCCTCCTCTGGTGTGGCTCTGGCCTCTGAGTGAACTTTGGAATAGTTGAGACCTTCACAAAAATGCCTGGGGTGTCTCTCCCTGGGTCGTCTTGGAGACACGTGGGCTTCTCGGAGCACTCTGACCTTCCCCCTGTCTGTCAGAGAAGGGAGTATTCCCATCTCCTGATCTGTGGTGGTTCAGGCTCACCGGTGGCTCCCGGAGAAGAGGGGAGAAGTCAGATGCATGGAGAAGGCCTCCTGCAGGACCAGCCTCTGAGATGAGCCAATAAACTGCTGACCAGTGAAGCTGTCACTTCAGCACCATCCGATGTTGCAGCAGCTAACAAGGCGATTGCTCAGAGAGGCATTCGGGTTGTAGGCCTGGGCATGAAGGGTCTCTCCACTGCGTGCCCAGCAGGAGGGGCAGTGCCCTGTGTGGTCCCTGCTCTCTAGCAGGTACGATGAATTCTAGAGCACATGACACTCAATGTTTCCAGATGGTGTTCTGAAAACCAGTCAAACCAGCTACCAGGTCTAGGGAGGTCACCTTTAAGCCCCCAACTGATTGCACGCGAAAACAATTTTTGCATACTGGGGCCCAGCATGTCCTGGAGGAGCCCGACTGTGGAAGTCAAAGAGCCACTGGAGAATTTTTTAACTTGATTTGCAGGGTGCAATGTGGAAAAGCTTCAGCAGGCTGCACGTTCACAGTCAATTAAAGGGAACGTTGACGTGGTATCCTGAGAGGACCAAAAGGACCATTTCTCCACTGAGGATCGTACAGAATGGGCTACTCAGATTACAAACCTTCAGTACTGGAGAGGCCATGTGAGATGAATTTTAGACAGAGTGCCCGGCGTGGCAGGGCACTCCGCCGTTCCCTGGGACGGCAGCCAGCCCTTCTGAACAGCAGGCCCACGCAAGCCATGCAGTCAGCCCATCTGCCCTGCTCTGGGATCGCCTGCTGTTCTTGCCTGGCGGGGACCTGGTGCTCCCAGCTTTGCTTTGGCAGCTCTCAGTGAGGAGTCCTGTCTGCTCGCTGGAGAGGAAGCAGACCGCTTGCTCAGTGGTTTCCCTTTCACGCTGGAACAGCCTCGGAGCTTATCTCCAGGACCCAGCTTGGGAAATGTGCTTTGCAAAGATAAATCTGCCTAGGGCCGCTCTGTCCCCCGCATACTCTTGATGACCTCAAAAATCTGGCAGAGTGAGAGCCACCTCCTCGGTCCCTCATCCCATGCGTGCTTCAGCCTGGAGAGTGGTTCCCAGGGAGCAGGCATCATACCAGCCCCTTGGAAAAGGGCTTACAAAAACTGAAGCTTTAAAAAAGCCAGAGCCCCATGTCCCCAACCAACAACGCTTCAAACTAGCCCCTACCTCAACTGCGCAGCCCAGCAGAGCCCTACAGTCTGGAAAGGCAGGAAGTTCAGAGGTAAGTGGCCATCCAGGGCTCTCATGTTCCCAATGGGCTGAAATGTGAGATGTCTGCCTGCCACTTCATCATCCTGCAAACAACATCCCCGGGACCAAAGATACCAGCTGATCCTGATGAATGGGATTGAAATCCTTCCCTGAAAGGATGGTGCCTTCACTGTCCATCCCACTCACCAATCCTCGTCCAGCTTGATCTCACCTGGTCCTCTGTCAAGCTGGTGCCTACTGCATCCTCCCCACCCAGCCCTGTACCAAGCTGGGATCTGTAGCTCCCATCCCATTGGACATTCTCTCTGCAGTCTGTGCCATCCCCCCCGCCTCTTCCCAGGGATCCTGTGTGCTCTGAGCCTTCTTGCCTTCTAAGGATTCTGCCACTGAGCCGTGGGTCTGTAGGACCCTCTTCTGAAAGTGATTTCCGTTTAACCTCACAGCTGGTCTGGGGCTGTGCTGGCTCAGGAACTATCTGTACGCACTTATGTTCCACTTGTTTATCTGAACTATTGCTTCTTTAATGCAACTGTGGTGTTTGCTGGAGTCCTGAATGATGTGATGGAATCAGATTATTTGTAATTGTAGCAAGAGCAAAACTGGGGTCTGTTTGGGGCAAGGTGTACTTACATGCTGTTGACTCATGCTGGTTTTGGATGTGCACTGCTGATTGTCACTATCCACTGGGTAGCTTCCCAAGAGGATATAAACAAGCTCTGACACTATTTTTGGCTGGTGTCTCCTGTCTGTGTGCTTTTAACGCTGAGTGAGATCTGAGTGGTAGGGGAGATTATCCTGTGGCTCATGTGAGGGGGAGAAGAAACGTCTGCATTTCACTCCATAGTCTGCATGGTGCAGCTTAGCCTACAGCCATCAGCCATAGACTCAGCAGTCCAGTCAAGGGCACTATCACTATTATGTGCACTATGCTAGACCCTTGAGGTTCCAGCTGAAATCAAAGGCCTTGTTGTGCTAAGCCCTGTACACCCACTGAGGGGGAGTGCCTGCCCTGGAGCCTTTCCAGTCCCAGCAGAGCCAAAAGGAACCAGTCCCGGTATGGCTAAGCTTGTGTCCAGGAATATGGAGTCAGGCTTTCAGGTCAGAAGATTGGCTTTGGCATCATGAGATTTTAAAGTTTTTATTTTTATTTTTTTATTTTTTGCTTTGAGTTTTTTGGATTGTGCCATCCTGGATCCCCTGCCCAGCTTGTGCCATCCTGGATCCCCTGCCCAGCTTTTCTCCTCAGGGCTAGAAATGTTCTTCACCAATAAAGCTGAGACTTGCCCACATTCACCTGGCTTCTGCACTCAGGCTAGAATTGCACATTGGCAGCCCACAGCCCATTTCTTCACAACAGACGGTGCAGTGGAGCCAGCGGAGCCAGATTTCCCGGCCGTGGCCCAGGGCTGACAAGGGTAAATCTCCATCCGGGATTGAAACCAAGACTCCAAGAACAGCTTCTTTCAGCCTGACATCTACCTGAGCTTCATAAAGCAAGGATAATGGTGGCTTTGTGCAGCCACTGTCTGGACCTGGCAGGAAACCAGTACAAGCAAGCAGGACAGGCGTCCGGGAGAGTGTCAGCTCACAGTTTCTACTCACTGTTCCCTGCTTAGGTCTTTGTACTGCTCCAGGAGTGGCTTTTACTGTCATCCCTGGGATGGGACAGATACAGCTCATCACATGCCATGCTGAGGAGTGCTGGATGTGGGCAGTAACCCTGGGAGCTAGTCCCTTTTTGGATAGTAGCCTGGATAGCCCAGCATTGAAATGCTTTGTGCAGTGGAACAGGCAATGAGGTGATGTTCTGACTGCTTTGGGATCCTCGAGGGTGAGACTATTGGGGCAGGGGGCTGCAGACCAGGTGAAGCAGGTGCTGGGTAGAGGGGGGTCTCATTGTGGTCAGGGCCGTCCATATGTAGCTTGATTCTGCAGCTGTAGAAATGGCCACAGGATTTACCTTATTGTCAAGTGTCTGCAAAGCTATTCGCTGCACAGGAAATTCACAGAAATGCTCTTGCCTCCTCTGACTCCCTCTTCTCTGTAACAAAAATGATTAGAGGTTTGGAATGGGTGCCATAAGAAGAGTGATTAATACAACTGGGACTTTTCAGCTTAGAGAAGATTGGGGGGGGAGGGAATATGATTGGGGTCTATAAAATCATGACCGGTATGGAGAAAATGAATAAGGAAAAGTTATTTACTTTTTCCCATTACACAAGAACTAGAGGTCATGAAATGAAATTAATAAGTAGTAGATTTCCTTTGGTTTATGAGTTTCTTCATGCAACATAATCAACCTGTAGAACTCCCTGCCAGAGGATGTTGTGAAGACTAGGACTTTTAACAGGGGTCAAAAAGAGCTAGATAAATTCATGAGGAGAGTCCATCAGTGGCAGTTAGCCAGGGTGGGCAGGGATGGTGTCCCTAGCCTTTGTTTGTCAGAAGCTGGGAATGGGCAGCAGAGAAGGGAGAACTTCTTGATCATCCGTTCTGTTCATTCCCTCTGGGGCACTTGGCATTGGCCATTGTCGGCAGACAGGACACTGGTCTAGATGGATGTTGGGTCTGACCCACTCTGGCCATTCTTGTGTTCTTTATGTCTCGACTGAGATGCTTCCCCTAATGCTCCAGATTGATCTTGGGTGAGGGCTGCTTTCCTGTGTCCCCAGCTGGCCACAGACTCTCTTCAGCTACAGACTTGTGATGTGTGGCAGAGGAGAGTTCTCCGTTCCTGCCCCACTGTGGCAGAGGATGTACCAGAGGTGTAGTGTGCTGCAAAGGAGCCGGGCCTTGGTTCGTGACCATTTGAACATTTGGAGGTATAAAGACGAAGGTGCCTGGTCTACAGCTGTTTGGGCCAGTGTCATTCGACTGACTTAGTCAGGCCCCAGGAGCAGATGCCCCCTCACGTTTGCCATTTACCAGGGCGGATGTTAATTGGGTGCCAAATGTCTTGCTTGCATCCCAGGCTCTTGGGCCGCTTACACATTGCATAGTCCGGGCCCAATGGCTGTTTCCTGCCATTGTAAGGGTCTTGGGATGGTGACTCACAGCAGACGTAGCAGGGCCAGCTCCGGGGGGGTTTGGGGGGGGGGGGGGGGGAGACGCTGTTTAGAGCCAGCCCTGCTTTCTGAGCTTTGCACAGATGTGAGTTATTGCACTTTTACAATCAAGCAAAGTGGCTGAGGCAGCTTCTGGAGAAACCTCCAGCCCTTGTAACTGGCTGGGGGATGGACTGGAAAGTCAGGGGAGCTCAATGGCCAAAGAAGAGCAGCGCAGCCCCAGAGCTAGTGCCTGCTTCTGTCCAGGGGAGCTGGGGAAGGGGGCGGGGGTTCTGTTTCCATCCTTGCATCTAAAAATAACAGCCCTGCTTCCTCTCCAGTGGGGCCTGGAAAGCAGCAGTGACTTAACCCTGCTGTTTGAGAAACCCTGGAGCCACAGGAAGCCGGAGCACAGGCCTGCCCATCTTTGCTGAGACATGCAAGGCCAGGAAACACTTCAAAGCAGGGTGCTTGCTCAGAGGCAGCGGGGGTGGTGGAAGGGCCCTGGGTCTGCGCCCTGAGAGAGGAAGGGCCAGATTTTCAAATTTGCAGCTGCATGGAGCTGCCTAGACGGTGGGGTGCTGAGCTCTGGGAAGCCTGGCCTGGGACTGTTCCCGGTGGGAAGGAGCACTCTGAAAAGGTGAGCCCTGTGCACGTTACGCTGCTGATGTCAGGTGTGTTTGGAACTGCATGGGGGGCTGAGCGGCCTGCGTTACACTGGGCTGGCACTTAGGAGCTTTCACCCTGGCTCTTTCCCAGCCTTGGGCACGGTCCTGGTGCACTTGCTACCGTTGCTGCCCCCCCCACTGGCTCGGCCACGCTGGGTACCTAGTGGGACAGGGCTGTCTCGCATCCAGGGGTGCTGGCTGCTGCTGTGGTAGAGCATAGGAGGGTAAGAGTTGGGGCTGGACCAGGCATGTGGCCCCTCCTCAGCAAAGGCAGCTGGATGGTGTGAAGGGATCTGGCCAAAGTGTCTGCCATGCAGACATTGGCTGGTTCCCTTTGCTTGGCTGTGCCGGTGAAGGGTTAATGGCGGTAGCCGATGCTACGTAGTTTAGCTCTGACACTGCTCCCCCCTGGGTGGGACCTGCTCTTTGTAGACAGGCTTGGCTGGATTCTGGCCTGGGGAGGACAGGTCTCTGCCCCCGGCACTGAAATGGCTGGCAGATGGATTGGCATCCTGCTCCAGGACATCTGTCTCCTGGTGGTTTCAGCTGTTTGCTCGGACTCCAGATTGTTCCTGACCGTGTCATCCAGTCCAAGAACGGAACAGACTAAGGAGAGGTGGCTGCTGCCTCTTCGGTGAAATATGGCTGTTGTAGATCACCTCCCTGAACTCCCCTAACTATGGGGGGGGTGCCACCTAGTGAATAGAACAACTCCTGAGAGCTGAGATCCTATTGGCAGCTTGGTCATCCACTGACCTGTGGAATGACCTTGGACAAATGACGTCACTGATTCCTGCCTCAGTTTCTCCATCAGGATTTGTTTGTAAACTGCTTTGACATTAACATAATGCCCTGCTCTTGTCATCAGAGAGAGTGCACCCATTTCCTAGCGCATTCACGGGTGGCCACTCAGACCATTCCAATTATCTGCTGTACATGGATTTAATAAACAGGTGAAAATGCTTAATGCAAATGTACTCCAACCAGCCAATTCCTTAGTTACATTGGTTTCGTTTCATTCAGTAATTTACCCAGGTGAGCCAAAGCAATACAAGAAAGGGTTAACTCTTGGCCACTCTTCCACTATCCACAAGCCCTTAGTGAGCTAGCCAAGAACAGTAACCAGGAAGTAGGAGGATGGAATGTGTGGGGCCTAACAGATACTCTCCAATTCAATCGTTTTCATGCTGTAGTTCATGGACTCCCCTGGGCCGCAGACTGAGCCTAAGGTTTCCACCTTTGTGTGAAATTGTGCAGGGATCCACATGTGGAAAAAGGCCGAATACCATGGGGTTAGTTCAAAAAGGGAGCTGGTCTTGGGTAGGGCTGTAAGCAACTAGTTGACTATCCGATAAGCAAATGCTTATCAGATAGTTTAGTGACTTGAGTAGTCTGCCTCTAGCAGAGAGAGGTGGAAAGGGGAGTGCTGGGGGGAACAAGTAAAGCCAGTTCTCCCCCAGGACCATCTCTGCGGGGGGCAGGGGAGGCAGAGGCACAGCAGGAAACGGTGCAATTGGGGACTTCGTCAGTCCCCTCTCGCACTGGTTCCCACAGAGCAATCCCAGCTTGTGCTGATCGCCCAGCAGCTCTTACTACATTTAAAATGCAGCACTGCAGCACTGGTGCCTCTGCAGCAGACACAAGCCAGGACTACTCAGTCCACGCCCTAGTCAGCTACTCTGGAGCTAACCCCACTGTGGCTCTGCAGAGACACTTATCGACTAATTGTATAGCAATGCTTCCCCTGGGTCTTAGTGCTCAACCACTCCCCTGTTCCTATCCCTGCACTCAGTCTTAAAGGGGACATGCTGTTTTATGGTTGTGTGGTGTGGTTTTTTTTTTTTTTTTTTTGCTTAAGTCCTTGGAGTCCTAATTTTTTTCCCTGGCTTTTTTTTGGGGGGAAGGGGGGTGGGTATTTTTGTTTCAACCATCTGGCAACCCTAGTTACAAAGACGAGGGAGAAAAATTGTCCCCCTGGACCTCTGAGGGTAGGACAACAAGCTGTGGGCTTAAATTGCAGCAAGGGAGGTTTAGGTTGGACATTAGGAAAAAGTTCCTAATTATCAGGATAGTTGAATACTAGAATAAATTACCTAGGGAGGTTGTGGAATCTCCATTGCTGGAGATGTTCAGAGCAAGTTAGACTGGACCAGGAGAAACCCACCCTCCCTGGTGGGCAGATGATGTGGATGCAGGTCTTGCCTTATCCTCCCTCCTAGCATCTGGGATATTTTTTCAAAAGCAGAGTGTCTGAGCCCTGGATGGGCTTCCAGCCAGTTTGTTTATAGGCTGAAGTTTTTCAGGAAGCCTGGGATGGAGCCCGGCAGGTTTTTCCTGGCATGCTGCCTGCACAGGATAGAGCAGGTTTCCTGGCGGATGGGAGCTGCTTCTCTGTTTCCCTTCTCGCAGGAAGCAGGGTAATGAATTGTGAGGCAGGAGATGTCTGTCTGTCAGTATCCCGTTTCCTCTGCTTTGATTGAATCTCTGGGGCGAAGCCCCTGAGCAGCTTAGCCTAACCTGGAGTCTGCTGGAGGAAGGAGGGTTAAAATCTGGGTGTAAGGAATTGAGTGGTTTCCCAGCGTGCTCTAATGCACTTAGACTGGAGAAATATGGAAAATTTAAAAATCACCTAAGGAAACTTTCTAAATACCTTTGGCTTGTGATGTTGTTTGTGTCCCTAAATCCCATTGGGGCTTTTAAAAATCATCCTGAAGAGGTTGGAAACAGGTCTGTATCTAAAGGCCCATATGTGGTCAGATTACTCACAGCAGCGCTCATTTGCCATTCGGAGGCAGGGCAGGGAGCATGGGGACACCAGATGAAGACGACCAGTAAAACCTACAGATTGTGTTGTGCTTGGAGCCATCGGAGATGAGGAAGCCCTTTAGGGAGTTGGTTACTGCTCCCTGTTTCTCTGCTGTCCCAGCATAAGTTAGAGCAGGCTGGGGGCCGGTAGTGATCCCTGGGTTGTGATGTGTA